ATGATTTATTGAAATATTAAGGCTCAAAAATATTTTTCATACACAGTTTTCTATTAAAGATTTGGAAATTTTAAAGTATTTTCTCAGATTAGAAATTGCATATTCAAAAAATGGCATATTTCTAAACCAAAGAAAACACGTATTGGATTTGTTAAAAGACACTGAAAAATTAGGTGCTAAGCCGCTCAAACGCCTATAGAGTGTAATTCCAAATTAACACTTGATTTCGATCTATTATCTGATGTGGGTCAATTCCAAAGATTGGTGGGTAGACTAATTTACCTCACAATTACTTTAGATGATATCTCATATGCTGCCAACCTTATTAACAGCTTTATGCATTCTCCACGAGTTGCACACATGGATGTCGTTAATCGAATTTTGCACTATCTCAAGGGGTTACCTGAAAGAGGTATATGGATGCGTAAAAATGGTCATTCTCTTAGTTCTGCTTATACAGACGCGGATTGAGCTGGTAGTGCTATTGATAGAAGATCTACCACTAGATATTGGACTTTTGTTAGGGAAAATTTGGTGACATGAAAGAGTAAGAAGCAGAACATTGTTGCACGCTCCAGTGCTGAAGCTGAATATCGGGCAATGGCTTCTACTGCCAGTGAAATTATTTGACTTCGCTCTTTGTTGAAGGATTTGGGATTTGGTTCATCACAACCCTCCTAGATGTTTTGTAATAATCAATCTGCTATACATATTGATTCAAATCCAGTTTTTCACGAGCGGACAAAACACATTGAAGTTGACTGTCATTTTATACGAGAACAAGTCCAAGCCAAGGTTATTTGCACTCCCTTCATTCGTAGTAGCCAGCAATTGGTTGATATTTTCACCAAAAGCTTATCAACTGCCAAATTTCAGGAGATAATTGTCCAAGTTGGGCTGTATCGATATTTTCGCACCAACTTGACGGGAAGTGTTGGAGAAGAGAGATATTTGGAAATTTAAAGAATATTTGATAATATTGAAGAAAATATTATGGTATGATTTGGACAATATTGGTTGATGATAATTGGAACCATAATTTGTTATATTTTTCTGTGATTGTCTCATCTATAATAAGGCAACCTTGTTTTAATATGACTATATATATGTCATTGTACACTTCGAATATAAGCGAATATAATCTTCTCTCTTCTCCCGTGAATGTAGGTTTGCCACACTGGCGTCGAACCACGTAATTCTTTGTGTTCTTTCTTATTTATTTTATTGAATTCTTCAAAACACAAACGTTGATTGATATTACAAATTTCATGTATATAATGTACAATTATTTTGATTGAATATCTTACTGAACTCCAATATATAATAGACATAAAATATAAGTTCTTTTAACATATAGTTAACGCACGCACGCAAGGTAAACTAATAATAGCAATAACCTAGTTTATAGAAAAAAAACTCGACCCTTATTTGGCAAACACATTGGACCAATATATGGCTGGGGGCAATTAAATACCTTAGTTCCTCTAGGGTCATAACATATGATAATCTCATACAACAGTGGAGACATCATAACGTGAGGTTTTTTCTTGTTTTGGTTAATGATCTTGCATCTTATCTGAATCTGTCTTCTTGTAGCTCGAACAATGGATGAATGGACTTCAGAGATGTTAACAGTTCTCAATTGTCCTGCAGGCCGAATTCCGCTTTGTCCAAGTGTCTGTAAAATGTCGTGCTTATTCTTCAAATCTACAGCCAAATTGAAGTAGGCCTTATAATCGTTGGGTGTAGTAGAGCATGTGCCGTGTTCTACCCATTCATGCTTCCAAAATTTCTGGTCACGTGCTCCTTTATAATCTCGCTCACGTAGATCAGGCCAACTAGACTCTAATCTTGATATCAAATTTTGATCCTGGAAGAGAAATTCCATTTCTATTTGTTAACTCAATGTAAATATACAATAATTTAAAATAAATTTTAAAGAAGGATAAAAATGTTACCGTAATATCATGGAAAGGTGCGCCGGTACAATTACTCAACTACCCAAACTTGTTGTCGGGCCACAGTCCGTGAAGTGTGAAATTTTTAGGAGCTCGTAGACATCCATTATTTAAGCGACAAAAGGCCATAGGCCATTGTTGAACCATCTTGAGATGATCTAATCCCTCCAATACGCAAAAGCTGGAAATAATGATACTAAATAGTAGGAATATGGAAATCATGTACGTCGTGGGCATCATATTGAATGTCGAATGGCTACTCGAGTGGGTACGGAAGGATGGCTTTTGGCTATTGAAGTAAACAAAACAAAAATAAGTCACTAAGTTTGTCGTCAACAGTCCAAATTTTACTTCAACTAAATACAATTAACGTTGCTTGATAAACACCACCAGTACTTGAGAAACAACACAGAAAAAGTTAAATACTTTCTCTTTTTCCTTGAGTTAGGTGGGGGTTGAAATTGACTTATACTTGATAATGAACTTTTAAATAACAATCAAGATTTAGAACTCAGAGGAATTATATAAAATTGTAATTGCTAAGATGAAAAGGAAGGTCAAGGGACTTGGCTAATTAATTGATCAAACGAGACAGAAAACTACATTATCTAAATAATGGGAAAACTACATTATGAAATGCATCAAATCATAAACTGAAGAAACCATTGTGATAATGATAATTTTGAAAAAAAGATATTTGAATCCTTTTACCTCAAAGGTGAACTGCAATACTTGAAAAGCTTTCCCTTGCAACGCGTCCAATTCCCAGAATCACAGAGCCCAGAACAGAAAGTAAAGTTTGTGGTTTTCTCCCATTTTCTTTTCTATAAAAGAGAACAAAATTAGAGAGAATTTAGAGGCGGTTGATTTAACATTAAACAAAGTGCAGTGTGAGCGAGTCTTGCTTCCTCTATTTCAGAGAGAGAGAGAAGCTACTGTTCTAAAGAGTCTAAACAAAGTGCAGACTGACACGCTGTCATTCTGGGTTTTTAAAGCCGCGTTCTTTTTTTTCATTATTATTCTTCTCCTCATTTTCAACCACATATTCTTCAATAAAATAATATTTTTTATCATATCAATAACTTTTCATTTTTTTTTTAACCACATATTCTCTATCACATCAACAAAAAAAAATGCATTATTAGCCCCAAAATGTGCACCAAACGGAGACTACTGTTAAACTTAGCTTTTTTTTTTTTAGGTCTGTGGGATTTTCATTTCTTGGCTAGGCTCGCCTGGGGGCGTGGGGATTTCCAGTAGCCATGGTAAACTGAACAAATCTTTCACTACATGAATTTTTATTACCGTCACATTTGATTCGTTCTTGCAAGATTTTTTTCACTAAAATGGATTGGTAACAATATTTTTTACTCATATAATGTCGTGGGTAAATATGACTCACAGTCTTCTGCATTTTACTGCAATTAGGAAGCACGTTATGATATTACAATTACACCCTTTTCCTGTAACTAAGGGGGCGTATTCAATTGAAACTTTTGAAAATTTTGATAAATTTTTTTTAAGTGATGACTTCCGTGGATTTCGTGGATTTTTTAAAGATTTGTTTGAAATTATTGGAAGTCTTTTGTAAACTTTTAAACTTTCAGAGGCTTTTGTAGAATTCAAAATATTTTTAAAAACTTTCGTTTGAGATATAATTTATGTGAATCTAGTGTCATATTATAAAATTATCACACACGAGGCACAACAACAAAGCTGTGATTTCACGACAAGATTTTTCGCGACATACAAAAAATTGTTGCAATAAGTGACTTAACGCGACACATTTTTTCAGTTTGTCGCGAAGTTTGTGATGAGAAAAATAAGTACCAAAAAACCTTTGGCGACGTAAAAAGTTTTCGTGAAATGTGAGAAGTTGCGACAAATAATAAAGAATGTCGCCAAAAATATGAGGGAAGCAAGGCGTCAAAATTTTTTTGGTGGGAAACTTAGGGCGACAAGCCTTCATTTCTTGCAACAAAATGCTTGTGATGCAATAGGGTCTACTTTTCGCGATAAAAAATATTTGTTGCTAAAAATTCGAATTGTGATTTTCGCAACATACAAAAAGTTGTTGCAATAAGTGACTTAACGCGGCACATTTTTGTAGTTTGTCGCGAAGTTTGTGATGAGAAAAATAATTACCAAAAATCCTTTGGCGACATAAAAAGTTGTCGTGAAATGTGAGAAGTTGCGACAAATAATAAAGAACGTCGCCAAAGCCAAATTATTTTTGGTGGGAAACTTATGGCGACAAACCTTTATTTCTTGCAACAAAATGCTTGTGATGCAGTAAGGTCAACTTTTCGCGATAAAAAATATTTGTTGCAAAAAATTATAATTGTGATTTCTCGACAAGATTTTTCGCAACATACAAAAAGTTGTTGCAATAAGTGACTTAACGCGGCACATTTTTTTAGTTTGTCGCGAAGTTTGTGATGAGAAAAATAATTACCAAAAAACCTTTGGCGACATAAAAAGTTGTCGTGAAATGTGAGAAGTTGCTACAAATAATAAAGAATGTCGCCAGAGCCAAAATATTTTTGGTGGGAAACTTATGGCGACAAACCTTTATTTCTTGCAACAAAATGCTCGTGATGCAATAAGGTCAACTTTTCGTGATAAAAAATATTTGTTGCTAAAAATTATAATTGTGATTTCGTAAGATTTTTCGCAACATACAAGTTGTTGGAATATGTGACTTAACGCGACACATTTTTTGAGTTTGTCACGAAGTTTGTGATGAGAAAAATAAGTACCAAAAAACTTTTGGCGACATAAAAATTGTCGTGAAATGTGAGAAGTTGCGACAAATAATAAAGAATGTCGCCAAAAATATGAGGGATAAATGATGTAATATGATGTAATAGGGTCTACTTTTCGCGATAAAAAATATTTGTTGCTAAGGCCCTGTTTGGTACACATTATTTTTTTTATTCTCATTCTTCTACTCATTTTCAACCACACATTTTTCAATAAAATAATATTTTCCATCACATCAATAACTTTTCCTTCATTTTTAACCACACATTCTCCATCAATCTACTATTCAATAATACATTCTTTCAAAAGAATGTGTCCCAAACACACTCTAAAAATGTAATTGTGATTTCGCGATAAGATTTTTCACGATGTACAAAAAGTTGTTGCAATAAGTGATTTAACGTGACACATTTTTTGAGTTTGTTGCGGAGTTTATGATGAGAAAAATAAGTACCAAAAAACGTTTGGCGACATAAAAAGTTGTGATGAAATGTGAGAAGTTGCGACAAATAATAAAGAATGTCGCCAAAAATATGAGGGAAGCCAAAATATTTTTGTAAAATATGTGAAACTAATAACTATTCTACAAAATTTTGTAAAATGTTAGTTTGTTTATGATAAACCAAAACTTCGATCATATAATTTATTTTTTGTTATAATTTTGCCTTTAATAACATTTTTTAATCGTCTTGATTACATTTTTAATAGCATTCTTTTTACATCATAGCTTTTAAATATTTATAGCATTTATTGAATATAATGTAATGTTTTTATAGCACTTTTATTATAATGTATACATATTAAATAGCATTCCTCATTCCTTAATTATCAAACGTAAATATTCAATCCCATTATGTTTTGGACTAAAAAAATTTAAACAATAACCAAGCCAATAATAAATTCCAAACAACCATCAATATTGTTTTGTAGAAATTTACAAATGTAGCTGTTCAATAGAGAAATCTAATTATGTTATGTCTCATGCCAAATACTAATAGAATATATGCTGAAAATGATATAAACACAATGAAATTAGAATGATATCATTCCAGTTCTTCAAAATGAAATTTCTTGAACTCTTGCAACTTGTTTGGAGAACACATCCATCAAATCAATGATGCATTTAAATCTGAAAATTAATAGTCATACAACTTGTTAGATTTTAAAATAACACAAAGTAAAAAAAAATTCAAAACTCCAACTAGTGACCGAAGATAATAGGGTATAAAATTTGACCTTGTTGTCTATGTTGTTTACTCGATTACAACTTTATCACATGGCCGTGTAACCGTGGTACCAACACATTCTTCAATACAAGTCATATCAAAAGTAGGCTTCCACAAGTAACTTTTGCTCCTCTGGTGTTACTTTGTCTCATTCTTTAACTTCCAATATCAATGGACCTTATACAGGAACACTATAGCTACCAATCTTCTGAAAGAAATTAGGAAAGTAGTCCAAGCATTGTAATTGACTGACAATGATAATTAAAAAGAATCACCCAAGACACTAACACCAGGTCATAATTGAGTCTTTCCAATGAATGTAGAGGCTGAAGTAAGCAATGGGACTTAATGCCAGCATATGATAATCTCTACACAGAATCCAAACATTGTGTCTGCTCACCCCCCCTACACAAAGAAACACACACACAGAGGAAACAGAAAATAAAAATGAGAAAGGGGGATTTCACATACTTTAATCAATGTCCTGCCAAAGCTGGCCTCTTCATCAACAATGCTTTCCCTTATCTTTATCTCATGTTGCTTCAGCTATGGGAAAACATCACCCATCACTTCCACCACAACTTTTACAAGCCTGTTTTCGACAAAATTTGTAACCCATTATTTGATAACTGAAAAAACAGAAAATGTAAGTATTCCTTTCATACCCATTGAAAAAACCTTGTTCTTCTTTGAGGACCTCAGTACCATATCGTACAACTCGTCGAAGGATGCGCCTTAGGACATATTCACGACCCTCATTGCCTGCCAACAAGCAAAGATTAATATGGAATCCAATAGAATATATTCTAAAGATATCAATTTCAAATTTCAAAATACAAACAAAATGTAGTGTTCTATTCAATATTATCCAACCAGCTGATCATAATGTTCAAACAGAACTTTCGCATGACGCCTCTAAATCTGGCTGCCACATAACAGAGTACCAAATCTTTCTCCACATAAATTCTGATTTAGATTCAAACCCACAAAAGTAAATACAACAACANAAAAAAAAATTCAAAACTCCAACTAGTGACCGAAGATAATAGGGTATAAAATTTGACCTTGTTGTCTATGTTGTTTACTCGATTACAACTTTATCACATGGCCGTGTAACCGTGGTACCAACACATTCTTCAATACAAGTCATATCAAAAGTAGGCTTCCACAAGTAACTTTTGCTCCTCTGGTGTTACTTTGTCTCATTCTTTAACTTCCAATATCAATGGACCTTATACAGGAACACTATAGCTACCAATCTTCTGAAAGAAATTAGGAAAGTAGTCCAAGCATTGTAATTGACTGACAATGATAATTAAAAAGAATCACCCAAGACACTAACACCAGGTCATAATTGAGTCTTTCCAATGAATGTAGAGGCTGAAGTAAGCAATGGGACTTAATGCCAGCATATGATAATCTCTACACAGAATCCAAACATTGTGTGTGCTCACCCCCCCTACACAAAGAAACACACACACAGAGGAAACAGAAAATAAAAATGGGGATTTCACATACTTTAATCAATGTCCTGCCAAAGCTGGCCTCTTCATCAACAATGCTTTCCCTTATCTTTATCTCATGTTGCTTCAGCTATGGGAAAACATCACCCATCACTTCCACCACAACTTTTACAAGCCTGTTTTCGACAAAATTTGTAACCCATTATTTGATAACTGAAAAAACAGAAAATGTAAGTATTCCTTTCATACCCATTGAAAAAACCTTGTTCTTCTTTGAGGACCTCAGTACCATATCGTACAACTCGTCGAAGGATGCGCCTTAGGACATATTCACGACCCTCATTGCCTGCCAACAAGCAAAGATTAATATGGAATCCAATAGAATATATTCTAAAGATATCAATTTCAAATTTCAAAATACAAACAAAATGTAGTGTTCTATTCAATATTATCCAACCAGCTGATCATAATGTTCAAACAGAACTTTCGCATGACGCCTCTAAATCTGGCTGCCACATAACAGAGTACCAAATCTTTCTCCACATAAATTCTGATTTAGATTCAAACCCACAAAAGTAAATACAACAACAAAAACAGCAAGTAGAATGGAGGCAAACCTATATGCCATGTCAACATTGTCCACGTCCTCAGATCCAACTTTGCCAGAGTATGGTTGAGCTCCAGTTGCCTACCAAAAGATTTAAAACTACTCAGAATATAATCCATGGAGTAACATATGTTAACTTTAAAGCAGTTAGAAACTGGCTCTAACTTTGTGGCGTCATCATCCTTATTCCATATTTATTTCTAAATTCTGTCAAATTTTAATCCTTCATGTGAAAGACATGGAAAGTGTCAATTTTTATTTAAATAAGGTTGTGGCTTGACCTGTTGTATTGCATCAAAGATGCTTAAGAACACATCGGTATCATAATTGCTCATCTTATTCTGAAGAATAGATGTTAATCTTTCAAAACCCATTTCGGTGTCAACATGTTTAGCCGGTAGAGATTTCAAAGAGCCATCAGCTTCCTTGTTAAACTGTGGAAGAGACATCACGAAAGTAATCCAACTTATCAAATTGACAAAAAATGTCAGAAAGTGAAAACAGTTAGTTGTTAACCATAAACATGTAATCATAGGCTTCATCAGAAATTGGGGATACAGAAATTGGACTCCAATATAAGAACCCAAAAAAGCAAAAATACCTTCGAAATTTCCGATTTCCCGATTCAATCTCTCCGAATTCCCGATTCACACCGTATATACTTTGAAATTTCCCTTCCACAATTGAAACATGTAGAAACTGCAAAGATGGAAATCATCAACAAGGTATGAAAAANAATTGAAACATGTAGAAACTGCAAAGATGGAAATCATCAACAAGGTATGAAAAATTGAGGATGAATTCGTTTCTATTTGGGGAGGGGGGAGGATTTTCTAAAAAAATTACAGAGAGGCGGAGGTGTGGAGAGGCAGAGAAGAGGCGTGGAAAAGGAGATGGCGTGGAGAAGAAGAGGCGTGGAGAGGAGGTTGAGGTAGAGACGTGGAGACGAGAAGGTGAGTAATGGAATGGGAAGAGATAATTAGGATAGAAAAAGCGGGATATATATTTTGGTAAAATATTGGAGGGAAGGAATTTGGGCTTTTTAATTTGGTGGCTTTAAAAAATGCTATTATATTGTATTTAGATAAAATTCAATTTTAATTTATAGCATTCTTTTGAGAATGCTATATTTCAATGTTATAAAATGTGTAAATTGTTGTAGTGATTGATTAACCATTGGTGTAGG